TAGATTGAAATGTATACGAGCGCTCATAGTCTTCAAATCCAATGCCACCATCTCCATCTCCATGTGTGCTACTCAGTTGTGCCTACTTACGAGCTCCACCTAATTTGGCACCATCCTCCTTGAATCTACACACCAACCAACTCCTGCTTTCATGATGACTCTGAATAATTATATGCTGATAACTCTACTGCTAGAATCATATCTGTTTCTCTACACCAGTCTTATCCGTCATATGCTCGATTGCCCTATCTGCCATCAGATCTGTCTCGTTACCACCATCAGAACTTATCAGCATTTTCTGACAAATCTGAGCAAAATCTAAAAAAACAAACCCTCTCATCGTGTTCAACACTCCAAAACCTAGGAATCAACTCTTGGATTGTCGAAATCTGCCTCCAGACCCTCGATCAGAAGACAAATTAATTAGCACTGGCAGATTTGATTTAATAATTTGTAACCAAACTCTCACCCATGTGAACAGTGTTCTCGCCGGTACAATACCTTCTTTTTTTCTACATCTTGATTCTTGTAACACTGCCAATCTTCACTTTTGTATGACGTCTATCTTGCGAACTCACTCCTGGATCCATCATCATGGCTCTGAGACCACTTGTTGGGTTATTTTAGTCTCCCTGCGTACTACGATCTCCGTAACTCGGAAGTCAACCCACAATCAACAAGATAGAAAATGACCACAGTCAAGAAGAAAGAATACCGAGATTTACGTGGTTTGGTCAACCAACTTCAACCTACGTCCACGAGGCAACAATACAAGAAATCTACTATATATCAAGGAGAACTACAAGAGAAACCACTTAACTCTGGTCTCTTAATCTCTCAACCTCATATACATAATCAACTCTAATATTCTCTCCAAAGCCCACTCCTTACAATCTTTTGAATAGACAAAGAATGTGAATGCTCTCCTAATATTGTAATCTTTTACACAGACAAATACTACAAAACCCTCACCTCTTGCACAATACTCTTAAATCAGGTTACGCCATTTGCTAACCCTAGATTGCAAGAATATTGGCTCTCTCTCTCCTCTATTTTTTCCCCTTCAACAGTAGAAGAATATATATCGAGAAAAAACTCTATCTCTAGCCTAACTTTCTAACTAGAATAGGATTCAAACTCTTAATCATGATGAGACTCAATCTCCTAATCATGATAGATATCTTCTTATGAAGTTATACAAAGAATTAAAGACACAATCCCAACACTATCAACCCTGAGTCTAAGTATAACTGATGCATCCTCTAATGTAAATGTGCATTCCCCTATATGGATATGGAAGGTATTGATCTCTAGCCTTCATCTATCAATCAAAGCATGGGTTATAGCCTAGTCAAACCTGATCCATCATACATTAGACCAAGTAAGAAAACTGGCCTACGTGACCATCTACCGCAATCGATCATCATATATCTCTAAGCCAGAATGACTCTGTATATGATCGACTGATGTGAGCTCTGGAACCACCTACACATTAAAGTTTGATTACACTTTCAATACAATTATACAATAGAAAATAAATATGTCAATTTATTTTACCTCTCCTAACTCTATCGTCTTAGAACGATGATGATTGTTTGTGCAGTACATGTGTGCTAACTGGTCAATGCCTCAAAGTCTCTGCAAGAAAAAAAATACAATTATTACTATGCAATCAAACATAAAGAAAACTAATCTTAAAATGAGTTGATGTAAGATGAATGATAATAAGAAGGATATGCTCAGAGAATGATAGTAAGATGGTAGAGACTACATCATTTCCAAACATAAATAAAACCAAACTTAAAATTGTCTTTTTTTTTGTCATATATAAGATTCAACTACATTTTTCCCACATAATCAAACCCCAATAATACAACCTTCACATTATGTTATCCAACTACTCTTATCTTTCTTCTTCGTAACTCCTTCTCACACTAGTTGATCATCGAGAGTTATTGTAGCTGGGTTGATTGTACTAACAACACCTATTTTTCTTACTGACTCCTTCTCGTCCTTTGTTCATAGTACATCTAAGTCTTATAACAAGGTCACCCTATTTGTATCTTATATTGTGGAGGCAATAATCATGGCCTCTCTTGCATCCAATAACAACTATCTTCTGCCAGGCAAAAATAATCCTTGTACATATATTGGTAGTGGTTAGTTGAATATCACTTAGGGGTAAATTTATAGTTTGAAATCCTCGCATCACCTTCTTGATCAGAAGAAGACATTATAACATGGGAACAAGTGATTGCAATTATGGAATGTTGCAAGTATATTTACATACTAAGATGAATATGATCCACAAACATGCTGACAATGTAAGATCAACTGTCTCTATGTCAGAATCCTGTAATAATCTCCCATTCATCCATAGTGAATCTAATAACATGACATGATCTAGCGAAAACAATCTACTTTGCTAAAATGTCCTCAACTTTTGGTCCAACTCTAATGTCAAGCAAATATTTTGTTAAAGTATCTGTTAAGCTGTAAAATATCTTTATAACCAAGGGCTGTATTGGTATAGCTCGAGCTCCTCTAAGCACACCATTAAAACTCTCCGAGTAGTTGATTGTTATAATACAAAACTAGCTTACCAAAAGAGATTTCAGATAAACATGTATCTATGATTTTCATTAAAGTTATTCATGATATGTCTTAAGCAATATCGATGATGATGATTTATATTTCTCCAATGAACTGATAATTCCTTTCATCCTATCCGTGACAAAACATAATCTTCCTTGCTTGCACACTAGGAATAAACATTTCAATACATGAAAAAAAATTGTTCCTAGTTTTTCGTGTTCTCGACTTCAACAACTACAAAAGCCAAAGAGAATAAATCACAATATGCATCAATCCCAATAACAATGGGTAATATGCCATTATATTTAACATATCTATGTGTACCGTTGATGCTAGAATAGGACGATGAAATTTGAATCCCTCAATTGAAGGACCAAATGCCGAAATACCCCCATGAACCGACAATCTTCGCCGTCCACCAGCACTGATGTAATGTGGTACATTGTCTCGAGATTTATTTTGTCTTGATTGTTTCAAGATAATGTGGTAGTATCTTATAAGACTTATCTCGATCTCTAAATATTTCTATCATCACATTCCTTTGAGCATTCCAACACTTGATGTATAATACTTTCAATTTGGTCTCATTACAAACTGTATCACTTGGAGTTAGAACACGATCCTCACTTATTTTCTGTCATGTCTATGATTCGATTCTAAATGAGAATTGTTGCATGTGTGAACACTATAACATTCAGTTAATTTAAATTGCCCATTAATTCTTATCTCAGCGTGTGAATTAAGCTTCCAAAGACAATATACATTTCCATCATGAAGAGGAATCATATCTTGTTGATCATAACAAAAGTAAACTACGTTGTAGCTTCATCAATTGCTTTTCGTCTGTATGAACTTTACATTTTTCTTGATGGGTCATAAATAAAGGGCATGAACCAACTTCTCCTTGCTCTTAAATAAATCACCATTTTTTAATGTGAAGTCATCACCTCGTGTGTCATCATTTTGGATTGGATCAATAGGGACATTTTTCATTGTAGAAGCATCAATCCGTTCATCTCCTTAAAACTCGTCAGCAAGGGATTCTCGAACACAACATAATTATTGTTAGAATAAGATTGGTCAAGCTATCGGGGATCTATGTCATTCAAATATTCTCTTTTCACACATTCATAGCTATAAATTTGTAAGCTGCATTCTTGTTCATCATTTGCGGAGTCGTCACTTACATCCTCCTCTTCTATCACCACTCCGATGGAAGGCCTCATTTCTTAATGGAAAATGTTGTCATTGAAGGTACTTGATCTCCCTCAAGTGAAAGCCCGCTCAAGTATTGTAATTGGATTCAATACATATCTTGTTGAGGAGATATAAAGCCGTCAGAATCAACTTCAAGATCCAACATGCATGAGTACATCCTGTCGTAATTCAATATTTAGTCCAAATTCCTTCTCAAGAAACAATTCTCCCGACTGTTGCTTCTCAAGCACTTGAAGCATGACCTTCATATCATTGTTGCTTGAGATTTGAACAGCGGTGGTTCTACTCTCTGTCACGAGCCAATTGCAAAACACGTTGAGTTGGTGCTCACTAGGATTAATCAATGTAAGTTGGTATAATTCATTAATCAATCGGTTAAAAGAGCACGATTTTCTAATCATGAGCGGTTTTCTCATCCCTCCTTAATGTATGGTCATATTATTATGATCATAGGTAATTTTCCCATTATACAAACAAAACAATAAACACTAGATCGCTCATTGTTGTCTTTGAGAAGTAAAAAATATTCAACATCAACCAATATTACAAGATGTAAATAACATATAAAACAAAACTTCTACCCATTACCTAACCTAACTTTTACATCATTTCCCCTAACTTTTTATTTCTCAATTACATACAATTTTTCAAAAAAAAACCATTTCAATTCCCTAAATTATACAAAAAAATATTAAGATTAAGAAATTAGCAAAAATAACACTTTCAATTTTGTATACTTTGTAAATGCTTTTTTTTCGTAATCGACCTAGTTTCAACGCACGATGCTGATGCTAACGTGACTGAAATTCGATCGATTTCGATAAAAAGTTTAAGATTAGATCAAAATTGATAAATATTTTTGTGAAATGATTTATTTCAAAAATTTCTGCCAATAACAACTGCCCCTTCTAATGTAAAGAAAAACAACCTCCCGCTTAATGCTTTATAAATCATATACTATTTGCACAAATCAATTTTCCAAAACACTGGATTAGCAAAGGAAATAAATTTTCCACAATAAACTTGCATACATCAAAACAATGGATTTAAAGTTAACTTCGTACAGTAAAATATTGCATTTCAACATTTGTTGTTGCAATATTTGCTACACTTTAGTTTCGCAACAATCCAAGACCTTCTAAATGAAGCAACAATGTGCTGAAGAACCCTCCAAAAATTCTCTGGAGTCACCAAAAAACTCAAATGTATAAATAAGAATTCATCAAGGAAGACTGTCCAACAACACCATGCACAAGGAAAAGGCCAAAAAAAGACACTGTCCAACAACACCATGCTCAAGGAAAACGCAAAATAAATAAAAAGAAAAAAAAGAAAAAAAACATACTCAGTCTTCTCCATCTGTAAGGCAGCAAAAATCAAGACTGCCGCGATACGAGAAATAGAGTTTGTCATTCTTTCTCATACTATTCATTCTATAAATCTGAATCAAGTGGATTGACATACGGACCTATCTTCTGAATATGATACAAGAATAATATCAAAGGCACATTTGAGCACTAAGATGATACAAGGCAACACTTACAGTCTCCCATGCTTTCGTTACATCTGAAACCTCTGACTCACGAACAAGTAGTGTTCCAAGTTGAAGCCTTTGGAGCCAAGATCCATGGACAGAAAAGAATAAGTAGAAATTTCCATGTGGCCGTATGAACCACAGTTCTACAGGAACTTAGGTGCAAGGAACTTAGGTGCAAAAAAAGGTGACAATAATTGAATCTTAAGGCAACTTAGCCAAAAAATTTATGCTTATGATAAACACAAGATCATTTAGTTCTTGTAATGACCCTTTTCGTGAGATCCACTAGAGCTCGTCTTGAAATATGAGCATTTTCACTAATCGTTTCAGGAAGAGCTTCAATTGCATTCACCGCAAGGTTCACATGTTCTTGAGCCAACTCTTTTGTCTTCTGGATGCCCTGACTCCTTCCAAGGTAGATGAGGGCCTGTAATTTGTTAAGAATAAAATGATAAAAATAGTTTTCCTCCAGTTTGTATAAACAAATATAAAACACTGTTCGTAGAGTAATTCTGAATAATATAACCATTCAATAGAAATGCCATTTCATTGTTACTACTAGGATATTCGACATGTAGGAATGCATGTGAATGAACTGTTAAAAGTAGTAAAAAGCAGCATAAGATTGACAAAATTCAGAGATCTATATTTCCTTCAATTTCAATTAACAAAAATATGTCCTCATTAGTTACCTTTGATAACTTCAATTTTTCTTACCAGACTCCCCTAGCCGCTTTAGCAAATAACTAAAACTCCTTGAGAAAGAAAAAAACTGAATTTGGTCTGAGGTGGGGTTGCTTGTACATGACTATAGTTGGGGTTTTCTTCTCTCGATGACATTTTAGTTATTTGCCAAATACAAATAGATGAGTGAGAAAATTATGAAGGTTCACATAATGTTGCTGAAGTATTTTTCCATTTCATCACCCATAATATCCTTTAATACTCTTATCTTCATCATGAATCTTCTACTTTCACCCTAATTCATTTTTACTTTTATCCTAATCCATAATGAATGTTTTATTCTTATCCTAATTGGTGAAATAAGCACCTCGAAGTATGTCTTGAGCATCATTGTGCCTACTAGTTTAAACTTCATAGGATGTAAAACTCTCTCACTTTTCCCTTTTAGAAATTACCTCGTCCTAGTGTCATGAAAGAAGATAAATGTGTAGCCAGGTTTACCGAACTTTGCCATTTCGGGCTCGAATCCGTGTCCGACATGTACTAGGTACAAATTCATTGCTGACACGTGGTGGATACAGGTTTCCAAAGAACAAAAATCCTTAACCTTATATCCACTAACCCAAAATTTAAGTGAACTTGCATATTTGGTTCAAAAACCCGCCATAAAACCCTAGCTGCTCGGTGCTTAGAAAAAACCCTTGACAGAGCTTCGTCTGAATTCGGTGAGCGCTGGCGAAGTGTTTGAGAATACAACTACAGAAAAATAGTGACTAATTATACAGTTTTAACTTTCAGGAGTTCAAAAAAATCACCTAATTTGTGATAGTGTTTGGATTTTCGGCATCTAGTATCCAAATCATCATCTTTGGAACAGTTTATTGTCTGTGCTTCTTTTTTTATCAGTTTGATCAAGAAAATCTCTGATTTTATTGGGTTTCCATTTAAGTTGTGATATTAAGTGTTTGTTTTTATTTAAGTTGTGATGTTACTTGATTCCTTAGTTGTTTATTTGCTTTAGATATTGTCGCCTTTAAAATTCTCTTTCTGTTCTCGCTTCAAGGTTGATCAATTTTATTATTTTTAAAATTTTCCTATATATGACTATTTAGTAATTAATAATTGTAGGAAATTAAATAGACATGGATAGAGATTTTCAAAGTGAGGAAGATCAATTTGCTCCTCTTTGAGGATATGTTTGAATGCTCAAAAAACCCTCAGGAGGTGAAGGAATTGGTTATGATCATGTAACTGTTGTTGTAACATCTTAAGATTCGGGAATAAGGTTTGCAAGACCGCGAAAAAGGAAATATTGATGAGATGAAGAGTCTCGGATCAAGCAAAGCTTACAATGAAGAATAAGGAGAAACATGTTTCATCATCAACATCAGCGACAACAATCAGAACAACCGAAATTACAAAGAAGAGAAGAAGTGATTGTGCATCTAGTACCAAAAACAATCTTTTATTGTGGAGCTCGAGCTCATCTACATAGTCTGATTGCAATAACGTTTTTACATGACCAATTTACCATTTAATTTAGCAAGGAATCTATATTTCAAATTTTATAAGTATGCCACAAACAATGTTCCCGGAGGTTATTTTACTCCCGATTTCAATCTTCTAAATGTATTTCTTACAAAGAGATAATGCACACATCGAAAACTTGTCGAAGCCAATAAAGAACACATAGATAAGGGTGTCTTCATTGCATGGGTCACCTGATCTGCTATATGTTCTGCTTTTCTTTCGCATGGGTCACCTGAATTTAAATTCTCCACATTGTTCCATAAAGAGAGAACTACTTTAAAGACTAATGAGGATATCACGTGAACAAATCAGAGGAGAGCATGTGTACTTTTATTTAGGATGCACCACTTAAATGCTCTTCTACCTCGGTCAATAGGAACCGATTGTAACTCAATTGAAAAAAGAAAAAGAAAAGATGAAAAAAATACATTCATCAAAATGAAGACAAAAATATTGTCCTGTAATTCTATGATGATTGGATGAGAGTCATATAGAGCTAAGTCCTAACTATCCAAGAGCTCTTTAGGACAACTGTTGACATTATGACACTATGATAATATTTGACATTATGACACTATGATAATATGTTGTCGAAAGTTATTGATAGCGGATAGCGTCATGTAGTGCTGAGGTACCGCTAAGCCTATTTGCATCTACAGCGATAAAATAGCAGGAAATAACGCATAGTTAAATAGCGATCAAATTTAAATATATTTAAATATTCTAAAAAATAAGAAAAAGTACAAAAAATTTAAAAATTCTACAAATACATATTTGATGATTTATAGAGATCCTATGCATGAAATAGATGTGTAACAATTGTATAATATTAACAAAGTATTATAAAGAGTAAAAAAGCATGGGAGATGATGGAGGTGGAGGTGGGAGCACCGAAGATGGGAAGGAAGCACCAGGGAGAAAAGGGGAGAACCGACAGCTAGGGGTTTCTCTTTTATGGCTGCAAATCAAAGACAGGTGAGAGAGAGTGAGAGAGAGAGAGAGATCTAATAGGGTTTTAATGATAAAACGGGTCAGGTTTGGGTATGGGTCAGGTAGAATATAAAAGCTATCCACCAAATAAAAGTGAGTTTTAGCGCTTTTAACCGTAAAACCTGCTATGATGCGCAATCACGAACAAATAGTAGTTTCGGCCGCTATTTGCTATCACTTTCGATGATAGCATAGCGATAGTCAGCGCTAACACTATGAAAACCACTATAGCGAAGCCATACACCGCTATTTATAGCAGTGATGCTGCCTATGTAATTTTTATTCTTTGTGATTTAAGGGTGTGCAGACAACTCCACAAAACTTATTTCGGTTGATACAATCTTGCTTCAAAACATTATATTTAGTTTAGCAGAAACTGGACGAACTATTTTTTCTAGTTCATATTCTAACATTCAAACTAGTTCTTTTGTGAACCCAACTCCTATATGTACCAATTTTGGCCTAGCTAATATATGGACCAATTTTGGCCTAGCTAAGGAAAAAACTAGTTTTATTTTGGAGACGCCAAAAACATTAGAGTTTAAATCTCCTTGCTTGCGCAAACTACTACATTGAGATATGTATAGAAAATTATATAGGCAAGAATAGGAATGTTCATACATGATTCCATATAAATCTTAAATTAATGTACTATATAATCTTAAGTGTAATCACTATATTTAGGTACAATTAGCTAAAATACCATTATTATCAAAATTAGTAAAATTATCAACTTTAGAACATGTATTAAGCCATGATGCCCTTAATTTGGAAGCTTTTCTATTCCTAATTTACTCAATGGCTCAAAATAAGAGATTTTAATAAAGAAAACCATATAGACAATGATTTTTCTTAAAATCAACCTCGAAAAAGGGGGTTAGTAGTACCATGCTCTGTTCATCATTAAGCTAGTGACAATCCAGCATATGATATGACTCTATTTGAATTCATTACGAATTTAGGGTTTCATCTAGCACTTGAAATCCAAATCAATTCACATTTCATGCTAATAGGCATTAATTTAAGCACATCTACAATCCAATGATAAGTTCAAAGTGCAGAGTTTTCTTCCATGTTTTCCATGTGTAGTATAGATATAACAAACGAAGAAGAAGAGAAGATCTAGAGATGAGAAAAGGGGTTAATTACACAAAATCAATAAACTTTAGGGTGTCATTTAGCAAGGGATTAAGGGAGAAGGGATAAGGAGGATTAACTTAGTTAACCCTTCATAAAAGGTTAAAAATAAATTAATTCCATTTGGATTTGATAGTCAAGATGAAGAGTAAAGTTTTTTTTAGCATTTGGCAAATAAAGAAGAGTTAAGGAGGTTAGTTGCCATAAATATCCTAAAGTATATTTCTTTTTAAGTTTCGTTTCTTATTTTCAGAGAGAGCAACTCTTAACTCTCTTCTTTAGGTGGATTTCTTAACACCTCTAAATGAGGGATTAACTAACTTAAATCCTTGTACATTGTTTGCTAACCCTTTGACCAATCTAACCCATTTGAATAGTTAAAGAGGGGTTAAAACCCTTGACCCTTCTCTTAACCTGTTGCCAAACTAGGCCTAGGGGTTTCACGATTTAGTCTGTGAACTTTTACCCCTCTAGACCATTCTCAACTTTGTCGTGTCCCAAAATCTCCTTCATAAACTTTAAAATTTTCATTACACCCTCTCAAAATTTTAGAAACACAACGTTTTGTTGAATCAGTTTTCCATTTCATCACCCTTTGATTTTATAGGTAATATCCTTCCACACTCTTTATCTTCAAAATGAATGGTTTACTTTTATCCTAATCCGTAATGAATATTTTACTTCTATCCTAATTTGTGAAATAAGCTCCTCAAAGTATGACTTGAGCATCAATGTGTCTAATAGTTTAAATCCTATCGAATGTAAACCTCTCACTTTTCCATTTTAGAAATTATCTCATCCTAGTGTCATGAACTAAGATAAATGTCGAACGATTGCTAGGTCACCCCGACTCCGCCATTTGGGGCTCAAATCATTGTCCGACCTACATTGGGTACGGACTCACTATAAATACTTATCGGATCCAGGTGCTCAAGGAAAAAATCGATTATATCACATCCACTAACCCAAAACTTAAGTGTATTCGCATATTACGTGATTCTTGAATTGAAAATTTCAAGTTGCTTGGTGTTGACAATAAACCTTCGGTAGGGCTTTGTCCGAGTTCAGCAACGGCTAAAAAGTATT